ATTAGAAATATTAAAACATTATATATTTTACTTATGAACTCAGCTTTTTCTAAAAGTTATCTATCACCCTAGCCATTTGGCTCAGTGGATAGAGTGTCAGCCTGCTTACTGAAGAGTCCCAGGTTCGATTCCAGTCAGGGGCATATGCCCGGGTTGCAGGTTCGATCCCCAGTAGGGGGCGTGCAGGAGGCAGCCAATCAATGATTATCCTTGACCAGTGATGTTTCTATCTCTCTCTCCCTCTCCCTTCCTCTTTGAAATCAATAAAAATATATTTAATAAATAAATAAATAAATAAAAGTCATCTATCTATAAACTAGCTGGTTGAAGAAGCAATGAGCTAGCAAATCTGTCTGAGGTAGGGAGTGTCAGATAAAATATAGGACACCCAGTTAAATTTGCATTTCTGGTAAACTAGAGTAATTTCCAAAGAGTTTATCAAACCTGAGCTAGGGTGCACATGTAGTATACAAAACCAACTTTCTTATATATTTTAAAAACTATAGCTAGAGTTATAATTGAAATTCTTCATATTCCAACTTATGACCCGAAGGCATAGGACAGTCTCACTGTTTCTCAACAAATATAAACTAAAACAGATTTCCAGTCTAATTTTCACTTATGGAAGAATTAAACAGAACACAATATTCTTTTAGTATTCCTGTCTTTCAAGATGTTACTGTAAATGTTACTATAAAAAATATCAAAATAAATTGGTAATGGCTGATTTATCCCAATGATAACTAGACAAGAAATTTCCTAACCTAAACCTAATAGAGATGAGTTAGAAATTACTTATGTAATAAAAGCTATAACTACAGTAGTCTCTCCTTATCCTTGGTTTTGTTTTCCATCGTTTCAGTTACCAAGGTCTGAAAATATTAAATGGAAAATTCCAGAAATAAACTATTCAGAGTTTCAAATTGCTTGCCATTCTGAGTAGCATAAAATCTTGTGCTGTCCTGTACTGTCTACCTGGGCAATGAATCACCCTTTTACCAGCGTATCCACACTGTATACATTACCCATACACAGTAGCCGTCGTAATATCCCAATGCTTGTGTTAAAGTAACCCTTATTTTACTTAATAATGGATGCGGCAATTTGGACATGCCAAAGAGAAGTTGTAAAGTGTTTGCTTCTTTTAAGTAAAAAGGTGAGTATAGTACAATACAATATTTTGAGAGATGACATTCACATGACATTTTATTACAGTATGATTGTTCTATTTTATTAATTTCTTGCTGTGCCTGTTATAAATTAAACTTTATCATAGGTCTTTATGTATAGAAAAAAATAGTATATATAGGGTTCAGTATTATCTCAGTTTTAAACATCCCCTGGGGTTTTGGAATGTTTCCCCCTCAATAATGGGGACTACTATTCTCTCCTACCACAATCTCTTTTGAAGATTTTAGTACCCCAGAAAACTATGAATAGAAAGATATGATTTTACTAATCATTCAATTTTTTTCCTTGTTATTACCTTTTCAAAGATTTGATAGAGAAAACTGAAAATGTTTATTTGAAGTTTATTTAGAAAGCTCACTATTAACAATTAGCATAATAAAGAACTGAGATAAAACATCTAGTACTCCTCTGACTTTTAACTACATATGTTTTCTTACCATTTCAAGATACATTTTGCTGTTACCATCACCTGTTTTTGTTTCTGAAGATATACTGATTAAAATATCAAACTGCTTATTCATGTTATTCTTTTCTTTTCATCAACAGTGCCTGGCTGCCCAACACACTGGTACCATTATCTCAGTTTTTCCCCAAATGCTCAGAGTCACACTACCTTAAATGCAAATCAAAGGCTGTACAACTACAGAGTTCCAAACAATCAGGAAGTATATCATACCATGTAAAGTAGGTAGTGTCCTTAATATTTGTCTTCTTCCCTCTGCTTGCAATTACCTCTCAGCTTTATAGGATCAGGTTTTCAGTTAGCTTTGAGCTCAGTGGAGTTGTGCTACAGTGGAATTAGAGATTAGCAATATCTGCTGCTAGTTGTACCCTTTTCAAACCTAATTTTGGAGATCCTGATTTGCCAGGTAGAAACATATCAAAAAGGGATAACTGAGCCCTTCCTCTCCCCCAGCCTCCATATCCAACTGCATGCTATCTTCTAATTATCTTTCATGTGCTTTTATTTCTTCTCATCTCCACTACCCTTTGTTTTCCCTCAGCTACAGACTTAATAGCTGTGTCCCTCCCTTACATGTGTGTTCCTTCAATCTAGTAAAAGAAATCTTTAGAGAACACTATATAATCAAGTTAGTTCCCTATCTAATTCTCCTTATGGCTACTCAATATCCTCAGAATAAAGTCCAAATTAAATAACAAGACCTGTTAGGAGCCTTCATGACTTGCCTCCTGCCTACTTCTCAGTCTCCTTTCTCAATATACACCAGCTTGACTGAATTTTATTTAGTTCTTCAATTTCTCTCTCTCACCCCCGCAAGTTTTCTCCACTTATCACAATGCTTATTTATTAGCCTCCCCCACTGGTTAAAAGTTCCAGGGACAGGCACCATATATCTGTCATTCCTCCTTTTATTCAAAGAATCTAGCACAGTGCCTAGCCCCTAGTAGATATTTATATGTAGATATTTGTTAAATAATGAATGGACAGAAACCGAAAGTAGTAGGTCTAATTTTTCAGCCATATTAATTACCCATGATTCTAAGGAGAGCGGAGAGGGACACATTTGATTCCTCTAGGAGCTTCTCCATAACACATACAAGCCAAGAACAGATTCATACATATTAAAGTCTTTAGATATCTGAATAGTATTCTTAGTCTCTTGAATGGAAAAAATTATTAGATATAGAGCTGTATCCCTGGTCAGTGAATTAGCATGGTCTCACTGAAGAGATAGCATTTGACAATGCTTTCTTTTGGCTTACCTCTACACTTTGCTTCCCAGAGATGAATAAAAATACTAGTCAAGTTTCTAAATTTGTAAAAGCAATAGATTATTCTACTCTTTAGCACTGCCTAAGCCTCTGCCTCTATGCTAAATACTTTTTTAAAATAATCTAAGACACAGAATTTGAACTCATATCTGACTCCAGAACTTGTGCTCTGAACCACAATGAGATCAACTTGGTAAGCTATGTCTGATCCATACTACACAGGGTGTAGCAAAAGTAGGTTTACAGTTGTGAGTATGCAAACAGTTTATTCTTGTTTTATTACTTATTAATTATTGTACTATTTTCCATAGGAACAACTGTAAACCTATTTTTACCCCACCCTTTATATGATAATTCTGGAAAGACAAGGAGCTCAAATTTAGACTCCATGATTCAGTTCCTATGAAAAGCACATCTGTAATAAAGAATATCTAAGGATCTTTATGTAGGTCAAAATGACAAGAGGTTTAATCTTGCATGTCAACTGGAACCACCTTAGTGGTGCCACATTGAGAGCAACTCAATATATTGAGGAAGTTAATGAAAATAGTGTCAAATTTATGGTTTTACCTATATGTTACTAAAATTCCTGCAAGTAAAACTGATCACTTATTCAATATTAGAATGAAGCCAGATGTAGGCTCTACAGGCAGAACAGTTTTAAAGAGATGATGAGAAATGAGCAGAGTTCAAATATGTCTTTGAAAACATGTGAAAAAATAGAACATAAGTTACTGAAGTGATGAGCCAATATAATCAAACTCATCCGCCCTCTGTAGCAGACTTCCCTGAGCATTCAGCAAGACACTTACTATAACATACAACACTTAGAGACATGCAAATGTATACAGGTACATACACAACCTAGCTTGTGTTATGCAAATTAAATATAAATTGTTCAATAACTTTTCCAATTATATGAATTGATCATTAAAAATTTTACAATTCAGGCATCCTTGCCTCTGAGTCCCTCTTTCTAAAGTTTTATAGAACTACTCAAATACTTCTATTACACGTAACTAAAAGTTCCATAGATTATAAAGTCCTATAAAAATACTGGTTATATAATTTAAATTACCTCTAAAATTTAATGGTGAGAAAAACATGAGAACTTATACGATTTAATCAAGAACTAAATTTTAAAATTCAAATCAAGAAAGAATAGTTCATCACGTAAATTCAGTAGGATGTGTGTGTGTGTGTGTGTGTGTGTGTGTGTTGTGTATTTCAAATGGAAGTACGTGGAGGAAAAAAATTCAAAAAATTTTAAAAGCTTCTACATTAAAATAGATTGAAATAACATTTATGATCTCAATTACTTTAAACCAGCATTTAGATTAGCTTAAGCCAACATTTTAAAAGAACTAAGAGACTCAGTAATCTTTCCCCATTTCCATAATATACATAAAAGACTAAAACTTGGGGGGCATGAGAGGACAGAACATAGTAGCTATCTCTAAGTTTATAGAAAAGGGAAAGAAAACACATTAAAAAAAATGAGACTGCTTTAAATTTTCATAAATATCCAGAAAATTGAGGAGAATATTTAATAAATACTTGTCCTTGAAATTATTTTCTCCATCTGATATTTTCTACAAGCACAAACAAAATATACCATTATAAAAAAAATTAGGGGCATGTTTATTTGACTAACTAATCAGCAAGTACATTCTGAATATTAGGATGAAAAAAATTAGAAGTCTAGTTAACTAGATTTTGAAGGAGGCATGTCAATAAAAGGAAAAAGATAAAAAACGTTCTATTACTTAAAGCTACTTAAAAAGACTGAGCTTATTGTTGAAAACTCAAGTTTAGCACATATTTCAAGTAATGCAGTTTGTTTTTCTAACCTGTAGTATGTACTTACAAAAATGAACAAAGGCAAAATCTCAGTATCTCTGTTGGTCTTCCTAGATCGTGTTAATTTTGCTTTTTGGTTAAATACAAAGGAATAGAATTATGGAGAGTTCAGCAACAAGTTTTTCATTAGGATATGAAATCATGCCACGAGCTCCAAAAAAGGGTTAGTGGTATAAATTTGGGAAATAATCACTCATGCAAAAATCAGAAAATACCTGTACCGAGCCACCATGTCTGTCTGCTGCAAGGTGAGCTCTCAAATGGTGGGGATTTGCCTGCTGGGAGTCCCAAGCTGCCCTGTGGTCTGCCGACTGCCATTTATTTAATGCATGTGGCATGGATGGAAGAAGAAAAACCCAATATGTTAAACATCTCATCCTTATAATATAGAAACAAACGTATAAAAGGAAATTTTAAAATACCCTTACTATTCTGAGTCACAGATGCAATGATACTGCATGTGGAGAGATTTTAATTAAATTGCTACAATTATGTCAGGATCAACCATAAAAATAAAATACAACCATAGAATTTTAGAAGTGAAAAGACTTTAGATGTCACAGATTCCACCCTCTAACTTTATAAATGAAATTAACAAAGAACAGGGAGGTAAAAATGATGTGCCCAAGAAAGCACACTGAATCAAGCATGAGTGACCTAAAAAACCATTCACTATATTTTCTATAGTAGCGGTTCTCATTAGTTTTCTGATGAGGAACAACTTCTAGCAAGGTAAGAAAAAAAATAGTACTTAAATAGTTGTTCCTAATATTCTAGAAAACTTTTCTCTCCTGTTTCTGATTGTGTAGATAATATGAGAAAACAGAGAAGTTCTTTGAAAAGAAAAAGGGCTATATAGAAGACTATGAGAATATGACAATTTTTAAAAGTAATAACCCTACATAAGCTTCCTTAATCTTTTTTTATCTGGTTCAAATTAAGGAACCCATTTCCCTGAAATAGGCTGATAATTCTTGATGCTTTTAGATGATTTTGGCAAATTTGCATGGCAATAACTTACAGACTAATAATCTACTAGCAGAATTAGAAGGGTTCGAGTCTATGTGTTCAGGAAAATGTGGACAGCACTAATAAAAAGAAGGGGGAAAAATAAATACAATATTTTAAGTTTCTATGACATGTTGGTTCTGCATGAGGTGCTTTATATATGTTATCTCATTTTGAGATAAATAGTATTATCCTTATTTTACTGATGAAGACGTTGAGATGTGAAACACTTCCCTAAATCACAGAGGTAGCAAGGAGTACAGCAAAGATTCAAACTCAGAGCCTACTGCTTCTCCAATAACCCTACCTAGCTCCTTAACACAATTACGTCATGTTCTAAAGCCTTTGGTGCTCTTTACTTTCTTTTTCAAAGTCAAGAAAATCTTGCCATAGAGGGCCAAGCACATTGGTTTATAGGGAGCTGAAGAATATCAGTGGTGAGAGAAACCCTTTGGGAGGAGAAGAGATATTAAAATTCAAGTAGACACAATGAATAAAAGTTCAGGCACTAAGTTCCCTAAATTAAATTGCACAGTTCAAAATTACATACTTTGTGGCATGAAGTATGTAATCATAAAATAATGATGATAATTTTATAATGTCTTTTCATTAAACCCTCCAAACTCATCACCAGAATTTAGCAGATGTATAGCTTAATTAAATAAATTAGATGAGATAAAAATCTGAACAGAATGGGAGAATGAAAATGATGTTAAAGTTGAGACAAATATCTAAATGTTGCCTCGGGACAAAAGGCAACATTTGGGGGTCACGGACCTCTTTAAGAAGATATTAGAATAAACATTTACATGCACCCAACACTTTCTATAAAATATAGGATCCGCTAAACTTCAAACATTGACTCTAGGTTACAAATTGTTTACCTTGGGACATAGCAAAGGTTTTAGCCATTTAAAGAATTAATTTTTCTTCTTTTGGGATTGTGAACTATGAGTTTCTCATACAACTTAAAACTATTTACTGCTTCACAGATATTTAAGAATTTTTTTCTAGATATACAACTTTTTCTATTATAATGACAGTCTGCATATCCAGGTTTCAAGTTCAATATGTAAGCTATATTAAAGGATTTCCAGGAGAGAAAAAATCACTGACTCCCTACATTTAACTGAACAAGGACAACATGAATAACATATGGTTCCCACCCTCAGTGAACTAACAATCTAGCTAGTAAGACATGTCTGAAACATGTAGAAAGTCAACCTCTAAAATATTTAAATTAAAATTTAATTCAACAACAAAAGAAGAGCCTCACTTACTATAATACCTAACAACTCAAGTGGAAATATTCAGAGAATATGAATTATTAATTTTCTTCCAAAGTACATTTTAGAAATTAACTGATTTATTAAATACAAACTCTGAGTCTTGACTTCTGAGCCATTTCTTTCTATACACAGCATCTATCAGAGCACTTAAGCTATCAACAAGTTGTAATTTATATTTTGAATTAATTCACATGCAAGACCCTTTATTGTCCCAATTTTTCTAAGGCTAAAACTGAACTTTTTAAATTGGCTGTACTTTAAAGAATACTGTTAAATATCCCCAAAAAGTAGCATTTTATTTTGTGATGATTCTTAACAAGTTGTGTTTTTTCCTTTGATTTTTCATCTCTTGTTTAACCCTCACTAGAACTCTGATGGGATGAAAGATGTAAAGGATAAACCATTATCCTTCTCTAAAAAGGGTTACAATCGAAAATACTAAAGACACTTTTAACTCAGAGAAATAACAAAATTTCTTATGCTAAAGGTGGCTCCAATAAAAGTTTTTACAAAAAAGAGAAAGTGAAAACATTGCTCAAAAATTTCAACAGCTCTCAATCACCTTAACTCAGAAAATCCATCTTCTATGCATTATCTTGAACCTACTCCCTGCTCCAAGCAAACTGAACTGCTTGCTGTTCCTCAAAGTCTACATTTGTAAACTTCTGCTTCATTTTATACTGTTCACTCTCTCTAGAATGTTTTTATTCCTTTATCTGCCTTTGAAAATGTCATTCATTCTTGAAGTTCATCTCAAAAACCACATTCTCCTAAAATCTTTATAGTTCCTACATAGTTCCTTCATAGTTCCTAATGATCTTCCATGGCACTTCATTAATATGCTTAATGCGATGGAACTTATTCTGCTTTATAATGTAGTTATTTGTGAATTTATTGTAATAATCATGCTAACAATAACACCAAGCAAGAGAGTTGAAATTTATTGAAGGCTTACTATATGCTAGGAATTAACATGCATTATTTCTCTTTTATCGATGACAGAACTGAGGCTTTGAGAGATTAAGTAATTTACCCAGGGTTAAACCATATCCAGGTATGAATGATTCCAGAGACTGAGTGAAATCTTAGCCACTCATTACAAAATATTTCTTATAGGTTATATTGTTTTACTTACTTCTGCATTTCTGCAACATGTAAAATAGTAACTTTCAAATACTAGAAACTTAGTAAATAACTTATTACGCTAGACTATAGACAGAAAGATCAACTGCTATTACAATTCATTCCAATAAGATGCCCAAATACTTCTATTCTAACAGAATGTCAAATGTTGCTCAAAATTATATTAATTTATACCACTAAATTATAAATTTATAATTAAATTAATAATGAATATTAGGGGAAATATATATTTTTAATTCTTAGCACGTGTGTATATAATATTTTATCTGTTGAAGAAAAAACATGCATTTCATTCTTTCAATATGTATATACATGTGTATATATACACTCACACACACATGTAAATACACACACACACACACACACAAAGCAGTCACCTGGACATGATAAAACACCAAATGCATTTATAAACTGTCAGAAGGTAATACAGAAGCAAACTAAGACATTTTTATCTAAAGGGGAAGCAAACCTGGTTTTTGGATTGTTGCATCTTATCTCTGTGTTGATGTGCTTCTCTGTTTGATGATAGAGCAGGATCTTGCTGAACTGCCCCCACTGGAGTAGGCTACAACACAATAGCAATTAGCATCAATACAACCTACTTCAGAAGTTTTACTTAATATCATTCAGCTGTTTAAAGACTCAAGGAAGAAAGTAAGGCCTTAAAAGACATCATTCTCAAAATATATTAAAGCTAACGAAGACAACACAGCTACTCTTTAAAATGTTTTGAGAATATTTAAATGCTTTATCAAGTATTTATTTTTACTGGTATAACAACAAAAGATCTTCTAATGCTGTCATTTCTATATTCATATAAAAAATATAGCCATAACTGGTTTGGCTCAGTGGATAGAGCGTCAGCCTGTGGACTGAAAGGTCCCAGGTTTGATTCCGGTCAAGGGCATGTACCTTGGTTGCGGGCACGTACCTTGGTTGCAGGCACATCCCCAGTAGGGAGTGTGCAGGAGGCAGCTGATTGATGTTTCTCTCTCATCAATGTTTCTAACTCTCTATCCCTCTCCCTCTCTGTAAAAATCAATAAAATATATTTTTTTAAAATATGAAAGTATATCTGTTCATGTTTCTCATTTTCAAAGCTAATGTATAAACAGAATAAATTATTTTTAAGGGAATAAAAAATTAAGGGAACAACTTTTTAAATAAACTAATAAAATTGCATACTGTCACTCAGAAGAGGCTTATAAAAATTTTTCAAGTACAATTCAAAATATAAATCTTTAATCAAAGTTTATTTAGATTTCCACCATAGATAACATGTATATTCAAATCACTTTGCATTTAAGAAAAATATACATTAAACACTTAGTAAGTCAACTGTTCAAAAATACTTGAACTTGAAAGGTCAATGGTTCCAAATATGGATAAAAACTTGCTAATAGTGAGCCACAAATAAAAAAAATTTTATAGAACATTCTTACTTATTAAAAAAAGATTAGTGAGAATAAATATTTGATCTTTCAGAAATCGCCTCTTCAAAGAAAGAATATAATGACATGTCTCTTTAAGTGCTAAGCACCAATCCTACAGTTATAATAAAGAATTTTTTTTAAGTTATGAAAACTTAGGTACAGTTTTAAAAACTTACTCCAAGTATCAATCTATTCCAAGAGATAACTTAGAACTGCTAGAATAATTAAAACATTTTTAAATTACAAATATTTTAAAAGATGGCTAAAGTAAACAGAAAACAAAACTAGCTAGCTGATCATTTAAAGTAATCACTAGAATATTAGACCAAAAATAGTATATTTGACACTAAGAATTAAATCAGGGATGAAAAGTTTGAAAAATCACTCTAAAAAGCAGAGTCCAAATGTAGGGTATTTATAAAATTCAAAGGATAATATATTAGTATTTTGTTACCTAAACTATCCCTAAAAAGGAAATAAAATGAACCCTTTTTCAAACGTATTTGTTTCAACTCTTTTCACTTGAAGGGAAAAAAACAATAAAATATTTTATTATATAGTGGAGAAACTCACCAACTGTTTACCCATCCAGTCATATTCATAATCAAACAGATATCCCTTTCGATCAAACAAGTCAGTAAAAAGCTTTCTTAGGTAGTCATAGTCTGGTTTTTCAAAAAAATCTAGCCTTCTTACATAACGAAGATATGTTGCCATTTCTTCTAGAAAGGAAATAAAAATTATTTTGAGTATACTTATCTACATACTCGTTAATAAAATTATTTAAGTGTGTAAAAAGCATACAGTATTATAAAAACAGAAAAAATAAAATTCTGTATTGCAATTTAAATTTTTATAAATTTAATTACAATGACTTTTTTTTTAAAGGGAGAAAATTCCTAACCTTGTTTATAAGCAGTATTCGAACCAACTGACCTAGCAAAATAATCCTCAGAAATATAACACAGAAGCTGCTTAATTCTTCTTTTAATTTCTGGTCATATAATTAACAATCATGCATTCCGTTAAAATTCTAAAATGTATTAGAGGTTTGTACATTTTTAAAAGGTCATACTCTTCAGGATGAAAAAGACATAAAAATCAATAGGCAAAATGGTAAGCAAAACCATGTTTCACCATGGAAGCACAAAAAAATCACTGTAGTAAGAGATAGTAGGTTGCACCTAGCTCCTTTTCTGATTCAATTCATTCCTGGTAGCCAATAAGAACAGGATCACGCTAAGCTCAATGGGCAGTGAAAGTGGCACCCAGTGACCTTGATCACATGGTGAAGCTCACTATTCCACTTTCTAGCTAATTATCTGGTTAATTTACTTTGGCACCACCATTTCATTTTTCTTGCAGAAATTTATATAGGCTTCTTAACTTGCAGTCAATCTGCCTACACCTAAACTGCTAGTACGCAACGAATTTTTTTTTTAACCCTCTAGTTTTAGATTAAAAAAGAAAAACATATAATTAAAGTTTGCTGACAATGAATAAAATAGCAAACTTGGGAAAGAGCTACCAGAGATTATACTGCTGATATTATTAGAATAATAATGTCAGCATTGTACAGGCAAAGTTGTGAATATCAAAGTGAGATTGAATTCAGCCTTCTATCTTCAAGTTTGGATCTCTGTTTTCTCAATGTTATTGCACATATCTCAGCAGGTATTTGAATACATTAGCAACACATTATTCTTATTTCTTTTTTATTCTTATTTCTTAATTGATTTAGAAATCTTAAGTTTCTGTTGGTTTGAGTTGCCATAAATCTACATGAAAGCTAAACTGTTTTCATAAAGCTCCTTAATATAAAATTAGCCTAAAGGTAATAAAGGTAGTAAGGTTTTACTGTACTTTGAAAACTGGACTAGATCATACATCATATACCTATGTTGAGTTGAACAATGAGACTCAATGACTAACATTACACTGAAACTTTACAGTTGGTATTTCTTAGCAAATATTTTTTAATTCTTTATTGTTTAAAGTATTACATATGAATCCTTTTTCCTTCATTGACCTCTCCCTACTCGGCCTCCCCCGCCCCCCACACATGCCCTCACCACCCCTACTGACTGTGTCCCTGGGTTATCCTTATATGCATGCATACAAGTCCTTTGGTTGATCTCTCTCCCCGCTTCCCCCGGACCCCCCTTCCAAATATTTTAACTTCTTAAAAGTATTTTATTGAAGAAAATATTACTTCAGCTGGTATTGGTCAGCATTACTAAAGATGGGATTTTCTTCTTCTAATACCATCTTAATAAAGCAAATATGGAAACTGACCCTGTGGTCTGTGCATCAAATGCTGACATCTTTTAAATAATATTTTGAGTTCATTTTTTTAAAACATGAAAAAAGGTATTTATACACTTAAACAATGATTAACAGTTCTGGTGTTCTGTGTATGAGTATATGGTTCAATGTGGCATTATTCATTACCTGGAAAATTTTCACATAACACTTCTATGGGTGTGGCTCGTTTTGTATCTCCAATTTTCTGATACCTCTCTTTTAATGTGTCAGCCTAAAACAGGGGAAGAAAAAAACCTTGAGAAAGTGCTAATTTTAAAATTAAATACTTGGAAGACTGGATTGTAATATATTAACAATTTCTAAAATTCAATAAGGAAACATAAAAATGTTTACCTTTAAACCTTGCCAAGGAAGACTGCCTCTAAGAAAATACATGAACATATGACCTAAAGCTTCTAAGTCATCTCTTCTACTTTGTTCTGAAATATAAGAAGAACATAAATTACACTTGCCTCTTCCAGTTAAGAATGCAAGAATGGAGAACTAATTCTTCTGTTATATACCGATTAATTGCTAAAAGTTTAGTATATAAATACATAATATAGATCAAGTGCTTTATATGTGACAAGGTCTTATTTAAACAATAATGTTTTTACATTAAATTTATTATACATCTTTAAAATATGCTATACTTCCTGAGAATCTATTGAAGACTTTTTTCTCTCCTGAGATATCTATTCATAGAAACATAAGGCAAGGGGGGAAAGGTTCCACGGTCAAATAGAGTCACTGTATACTAAAGCTCTGTCTTAAAGATTCAGAATGTAACATATGAAAGATTCTGGAAAAAGAACTAGAGTTTTTCCCTAAAAGATTAATCCTAATGTTAACCTTAAATGTTATACCCTAAGAATGTCTAACCCTGCATTTCCTAAATTTATAAGCACAAACTTCCATCCCACAAACATCATTGATTTCAAAAACAATTAGTATTCTCTGTAATATGTTTTTTAAAAAACACGTGTTTGACACATCCCAACATGCATAACCCCTCCAAAAATATACTGCTAAAACAAATTGTCATTTTCAAATTGCTATTATTGTTTTAGTAATAAACTGTTGTATAGCACATAACTGAGTGACAATCACAGACTAAGGGAGGTATCTACAAATATTTGCTGAGTGCATTTTTTTCAATTTTTTTATCACTGAAGTTAAATGCTTAATATAAAAAATGCTGACTAACAAAAGAAAAAAATAATACTTTAATAATAAAAAGATGTTCATGTGCAAGATGTTTTATACAAATGAATAAGCAGTACTAAATGCTTTTGAAAAGGCAAATGAGCATTAAAGCTTCAGAAAAGGTTTTAATTTTTGCTATATAATTTCATAACATTCTATAATTGTCTCCTGTAACATGTGCTACACTTTAAAAATATATATTTGTGTTATTTTTTAATCAATATCTATGCTCCCACCAAATAGCAAGTCCCAGGAGGCCAGATGTCTGTCTCTTTGGCTCATTATTCTCAGATCTAGTATAATGGCTGCCACAGAGCAGGCACTCAACACAAACTATTTAAATACATAAATGAATATTTGGAAATATATACTACCAGATATATGTCCCTTTTCTATAAGTACAGGAAAATATCTAAAAGAATATGCTTTAAATCATTAGTAATCAGGGGTATGAGACTGGAGAACGAGACAAGACATTTCAATTTCTCATTTCATGTACTAAAAAATGTGGTATTATAGGAAATTTTTCTTCTATTTTGTATTATAATAATATAAGCATATGCTATTGAAAACAGCAAACTTTCAAAATAAGTAAAATAGATTTATAGTTCTTTGTAAAGCCATTAATGAATGTGGGATGTGAATAACATGAAAAAAAATCATGCCTTTTATTACTAAAATTATATTTTATTAGGTACTGGAAGTATTAAGAATAAAAAGTCATGCCAAAAAAATTCTGAAGTCTTGCTGAGAATTGGAATCAACTCCAGAATCTTTTAAAAACCTTAAGTAAGCAGGCCTAATGCCAGAGATTGATTCATTGGGTACAACATGGAGTAGAAGAATGTACATTTTACATATATTTTTTAATTAATTTCAGAGAGGAAGGGAGAGAGAGTTAGAAACATCAATGAGAGAGAATCATTGATCAGCTGCCTCCTGCACACCCCCCACTGCGGATCGAGCCCACAAGCCAGGCATGTGCCCTTGACCGGAATCGAGCCAGGGACCCTTCAGTCTGCAGGCCAATGCTCTATCCACTGAACGAAACCAGCTAGAATGTACATTTTAAAAGTTAAGCAGATAATTCTAAAGTAGACTCAGATTTGATAAGCTCTAAAAAGGAAACTTCTTTCATTGAAGTATTTAAGTATTTAACATATAATAAAATACATACATTATAGGGGTACAGTTTGATAAACTTTAACAACACACACACCTAAGTACCATCTATTAAAGGACCTTTGTGTAACTTCCAGTTTGAGGCCATTGTGAATAAACTGTTATGAACATTCTTATAAAAGTCTTTTTGTGACATATGCTTTCATTTCTCTTGGGTAAATACCTAGGAGTGGATTTCTGTGTCATATGGAAAGTATAGGTTTAACATTATAAGAAACTTCTACACTGTTCTCCAAAGAAGTTGTGCCATTTTGTATTTCCACCAGCGATGTAGGAGAGTTCCAGTTGCTCCAGAGCTTGTTCAACATTCTCTAGTAGTATAGCCAATCTTTTAAATTTTACCCATGCTGGTGGCCATGAAGTATGTGCTCACTGTGATTAAATTTGAATTTCACTAGTAACCAATATTTTTTAACATCATTTCATGTGTTACTGGTCATTCACACATCCTTTTGTTAAATGTCTGTTCAAATATTTAACACATTTTTTAAGTTTTAATTTTTGTCTTATTCTAAAGTTGTAAGAATTGTTTGTATATTCTTGATATGTCATTTTCAGATATAAATTTTACAAATACTTTCTCCCTCATCGATGTTTCTATCTCTCTATCCCTCTCCCTTCCTCTCTCTAAAATAAATTTTTTAAAAACCCACAAAACTAGAGAATTTCTTGAAGAAAAATTAGGAGAAAAATCTTTGTGATCTTAGGGTAGTCAAAGATTTCCTAATAAATTGGTCTTTTTTCAAAGAACAGAAGTGTGCATTTTGACACTGACCTCACTCCCTTCAAAAAATTAACCAAAATAGATCACATACCTAAGTGTTAATCACAAAATTATAAAATTCCTAGAAAATAACAAAAGAAAGATGGCCTTGGTTTTGGCAAAGATTTTTACATATAATAACGTAAGTATAATCCATGAAAGAAATAATAATGAGCTATACTTCATTAAAATTAATAACTTTAGCTCTGCAAAGACACCATCAAAAGAATGAAAAGATAAACCACAGAGTGGGAGAAGATATTTGCAGAAGACACATCTCATAAAGGACTGTTATCCACAATACATAAAGAACTCTTAAAATTCAAAAATAAGAAAATAACCTGATTACGACTGGGTCAAGACCTTAACAGATACCTCAAAAAAGAAGATATACAGTTGACAAATAAGTATATGAAAATCCCACATCATGTAATCAAAAAGTGCAAATTTCCATCTCTTAGAATGGTGTCTACAACATTGACAACAGCTAATGCTGCCAAGAATGTGGAACAGAAACTCTCATTCATGGTTGGTGGGATTGCAACATGGTACACCCACTTTGGAAGACAGTTTGAGGGTTTCTTACAAAACTAAATATACTCTTACCATACAATCCATAATTAAGATCCTTGGTATTTGGAGGAAACCAAGATGGCGGCATAGGTAAACACCTGAAATTGCTGCCTCCCACAACCACTTCAAAAATACAACTAAAAGACAGAACGGACATCATCCAGAACCACAGGAAGGCTGGCTGAGTGGAAATTCTACAACTAGAAGGAAAGAGAAAAGCACACTGAGACTCAGAGGAGGTGCGGAAGTAAAATGCAGATGTAGGGAGGCGCACGCAGAAAGGGCTGGCAACTGAGGACGCGGTTGTCTTTTCCATTCCGGAGGGAGACAAAAGCTCCCGACTGCTCTGAACTCCAGTTCCAGGCGAGACTCTGGGGACCCAGACTCATACGGGGAGAAACTGGACTGTCTGGCAGCTGGCAGAACTCGAGGGCAGCTTTCTCTCAGAGGTGCCTGCAGCAATTACACGGGACACTGAGACCCAGGGCCTCTTAGGGCAGGGCTGAGGATCAGCCATAGTGGTTTGCTCCACCCTGTTGATTCCCTGAGACCCCGCCCCACCCAAGCTGTGAGCAGAGGCTTTTGCATATGAATGGCCTGGCCCTTTGCAATCTAAAATTACCTAACAAACTGCAGCTGGGTCAGAGAGACCCAGAACTTCCAAAAGAAGGCCCAAGGCCCCACAGCAGTTTGCATTGCTTCATAGCTGGGCCTCATCTGGGCACCTCCAAACCCCAAACTAAGAAGAGGAATCTCTCCATAGCTCCTGCTGGGTAGCCTCAGGCAGAGGCTAAATTAGCACCTCCTTAGAGATCCAAGAGCCAGTGTACCCAGTGGTCAGAGTGGGACCATCCAGATTACAACTCCTCAGACCCATAAGGGACACACTCAGGGGGCAGACTCAGTGAGCACCAAAGCCCCACTGAAACAAGTCTTGCCCCATAAGAGTGTCTCCAGCACAGAAGTTCTCCCACTGTAGACACAGCTGATTCTCACAGACAATTGGCCTGGAGGTCAATTCCTCCCAGTGATACCTACAACAATCAAGGCTTAACTA